ATATATATATATATATATATATATATATATATAAAAAGACACACACATACAATATATATTTTGAAAATATTTGCATGCATTTACATGTTTATATTTATATTCATATAATTTATATTATATAAAAATATGTTTAATATATAAATGTAACATTTTTCTTAAATATATACATGCATGTGTTTGTATTTATATATACATAATAAATATACACAGTACACACATATATTATGTAAACAAAAACTTTTATTTTGGATGCGCTTAATCGTTTGACAGCAGTAATATATACATACATATACATATATATGGATGGAAATACAATTCCACATATAATCCAGTACACCATTATAAACCCACTGACTTCGATTCTAACATTGTAATTTACATAGAAAACAAGAACAAAAACATGTATATCTGTATATCACTACACTAGAAGTACATTATCCTATTTTGGTATCATATAAAAGTGTTTTAAAGCGCTTTTGTGGACTGAACTGAATGAGGTGCATTTACATAACTGTACTTGGTGACCAGCGGCGCTGCTAACAGATTAACAACCAGCCGGAAAACTCACCTAAGATCCGCGATACGACCCCCAAACCACTTTAAACACATATATACAGATGTTTTGTACTATCTTATATGCGTTGTGTATAAAACACATCATTATTTGAAGCCTCTCGAGCGTGCTAGCTGTTAGCGCGTTAGCACGGGCGTGCGATGCTCTTTTGTTGACGTTAGCTTCCGCGCTAACTGTGCTCAAACATAACTAATAAAACACATTGTCGCCGCTTGAACAAGCGTGTGTGGCGGTAAATCGGCGTCTTACCTTTTTACACCCTTGTTAGGATCCCTCGGCTGCGTTGTGACTCATTAAATTATTAATATTAATTTGTGTAGTACTCCCTGATTCTTTTATTTTATCTATCAATTGAGCAGGAGCAGCGACCTCAAACGCCCCCCGAGGCGCACGGACTCGCTCTGAAGGTTCCGCTCTTCTTACGGTCCGGGGGGCTGAGTGTCACTGAGTGTTTCATAAGCACTCAGGGTTGCATAAATGTAAATACAACAAGGTGGCGTCTGGCGTGTTGTATAAATGCCTAGAATAATCCAGACAGATGACTTACAAAAGGAAGTTCAAAGACAAGACTGTCGGTGACAGCATATAGGCATACATCGTTTCAATCTGGAAGCCTGTACTTTCATCTTTTTTTTGTTCGTTTCGTTTCGTTTTGGGATGTACCTTCATATTATGCATGCATTTTGATGTTTTAAGTATTATATTAAATTATTGCATACATATAAAATAGTAGCCTATATGTGACATGTTTTATATTTATGACAGGTAAAGCTATACATACAGTATTATGTAATTCATTACATAATAAACATTATAGGCTGTGTTATATGTTATAAAATAGCCATGTTTATGGAAAGGTTGTTAAAATTGCAAAGATGTTCAAGCTAGGTTTTACAGTTTGCTTAAGCCTGTATTGTTATAAATAATATACTATTATAATGTAATAATATATACATTAATTAAAGTATTTTAGTAGCCTACATATCTGTTTAATTTGTTGAATTAAAATATTATTAGAGAATTTAAAATATTATTTTTTATGATATTTGTGTAAAATATGTTATTGCATTCAAATAAATCGATTTATTGTGTGTTATATAATTTATTATATAATTAGAAGCAGTTTATAGCATGTTATAAAACAGCAAAGTTCAAGAAAAGGTTGTGTAAATACCCTAAATCCATTTAGACGACTTTCACTTTTTACTTGATTATAAATATTATTTTATATAGAGTCTAGATTCTAGAAGATAATATATGCTTCGATTAATGTGTCATATTTTTCTATACAAGCCTGTAGTTATCTTTTTTAGACTGTATTATTGCAATATTATATTACTTTGTCATTTATAATGTAATAATATGTACTTTCATTAATCATACTTTGTATACAAAGCCTTTTTACATTAACATTTTTTTATTTAGCATATATCTTTATGATATTTGAGTGTTTTTGAACATTAAATATATTTTTTAGAAAATATAGTATCTGATAAATAGTAAATTCTAATACTTTAATGTGTTTAAAATTATTTAAATATAACAATATATTAAAAATACATGTTATGTAACTTATTATATAATTAGGAAGCATTTTATGGCATGTTAAAAAAAAAACAGTGCTTTTAGAAAAAAGTTTCTTACTGTCTAAGACCCAAGAATACTTGAATCAAACTAGAAAACTTTTTAAATGTAGTTTAGGACAAAAAAAAAAGAGACAGTACCAGTATCACGCCTTTATAATAATAAATGTGTTTATTATTATTATTACTACACTAAACTATATACATATTATTACATATTATATTAAATGTCTTTAACAGATTTTTACTTATGCACTAAAAGCATTCAGTAACTACAAATCACGTAAATCACTTTTTATTACATAAAATATTATGTAAAGTGATATTTAGACATACATAATGTCCAACATAAACGGTTTAGATAGAGATATAGGACACCCACAAACAGGTATACCAAAAAAAAAAGCAATAAGCGAATAAATAAACTTACGAAACCCGTTTTATCGTGACACTCATCTGTCGTGAACTTCACAGCAGCAGCGCCATCCAGCGCTTCTTCACTGTATTGCGTCATGACGCACGGCGCGGCGGAATGACGTCAACTACAGCCGACGGCGCTGCTCTTTTGCGTTTACTAGCCGTCCAGATCGTCCGAAGATTGATCAAATATGTATTAGGAAATGACAGATGTAGTGTTTTATAATATTATGGACTGGTCGATGGTTTAGGGGAGAGATTTGGCGACTCTGATTTCTGCAAAAATGAACAAAGGTTGGCTGGAGTTAGAAAGTGACCCGGGTGAGTCTCTAAATAAACATTTAGGCACATAATGCCATTATATAATAATCAATAATTATATTATTATTCATAAACTATCCTGTAGGTTAACATGTCATCTTCCAATATAGTATTTTGCGCTTGTAGTATATTAATTTGGCTAAAATGCATATAAGTCAACGCACTCGTATTAATTTCTGGTTTATCTCATAATATAATACTTTATCATATACAACTTCTACTTGTTTATAATACTGTCTGTTTTGCGATGTCTCGTTCTTTTTCAGGGTTGTTCACACTCTTGTTGGAAGACTTTGGTGAGTTGATCTGTTTGGCACAGACATGCTTTTATCAATCTATTAAATATGGAAAGTATGATATATAATGTTTATGTTTGGACTCAGGTGTGAAGGGCGTTCAGGTGGAGGAAATCTATGATCTTCAGAGCAAATGCCAGAGGTGGATTAATCACACACTTTTACGTTTTGTAATTTTTTTTAAGCCTGTATGTTAATATTTATAAACTAATAATAATTTGTTAACAATATTAATCATTGAAATGTTGTTTGTATACATACATATATTAATATTGTTAATATCAGTGTGTATTACAGTTTTTATCACAATAACATTTTTGTCATTTTTAAGCCTGTATAATATTGTTATATTGGTGATACTGGTTTCCTAATGATATTAATAATTTAAATAGTAATTATAATGTTATTTTGGATTTTTGTTTACCTTTCATTTTTAATTAATTTTTTATAATTTATATCTATGTATAAATATATAATATTTTATTGGTTATTTCATCATACAGTTTACCTCTTTTACCACTTACCATTTTAAGCATTTATGTTTATACAATAACAATTAATAAAATATTAATTTAGTAACAAATTAAATATTAATTTTAATATTGATTTTTATCTGTCTATCTTTTTTTGATTATTCTAAAGCTGTCCTGTCTTTTTTTGTCTTCTCAGTCCTGTTTATGGCTTCATCTTCCTCTTCAAGTGGATCGAGGAGCGAAGATCTCGGCGTAAAGTCTCCACGCTGGTGGATGAAACCTCAGTTATCGATGACGAGATTGTTAACGACATGTTTTTTGCTCACCAAGTTAGTCCCGACAATATTTGCACTGCAACATAAATCTGCAGTTATTATCCTCCTTTTCTATAGTCTGTTTGTGGAATGTTGTGTGCAGTTGATACCGAACTCCTGTGCCACTCACGCTCTTCTGAGTGTGCTTCTGAACTGCAGCGGCGTGGAGCTGGGAACGACTCTGAGCCGTATGAAGGCTTTCACCAAGGGCTTCAGTCCTGAGGTCAGTTACACACATAAAGATCATTTTTGGACACTTAAAGGGATAGTTCACCCAAAAATGAAAATTCTGTTATCATTACTCACCCTCAAGTTGTTCCAAACCCGTATAACATACTTTCTGCTGTTGAACACAAAAGAAGATATTTTGAAGAATATTGGTAACCAAATTGTTGATGGTAGCCATTGACTTCTATAGTATGGGAAAAAATACTATGGAAATCAATGGCAGCCGTTAAAGGGTTAGTTCACCCAAAAATGAAAATTCTGTCATTAATTACTCACCCTCATGTCGTTCCAAACCCGTAAGACCTTCGTTCATCTTCGGAACACACATTAAGATATTTTGTACCCCAGAGCATAATCAGCGTTGTTTACGTTCAGCATGTGCGCGCTTTCTACTAAACGTAAACAACGTTGGTTACGTTGACCCCTGTTGTCACATGGACAACTTTACCGATGTCCTTGCTACGTTTCTGAACCTGGGAACATTGCAGTTGTGTTGCTGTCTATGGAGGGTCTGAGAGCTCTCGGATTTCATCAAAAATATCTTAATTTCTGTTCTGAAGATGAACGAAGGTCTTACGGGTTTGGAACGACATGAGGGTGAGTAATTAATGACAGAATTTTCATTTTTGGGTGAACTAACCCTTTATCTATTTGGTTACCTTTATCACTTTAAGTCATGTTTAAAAATGTCTGAATGTCAACAAAGTAGCATTAGCACACTTACATCTTCTCTTTGCCTGTTTTAAAACAAGTCTTTATTGTTTGACTTCTCAGAGTAAAGGTTACGCCATTGGAAACGCTCCTGAGCTGGCAAAAGCCCACAACAGCCATGCCAGGTAGAGTCAAGCTTTAATATTACACGTCTTCCCCTTTAACATAGAATAAGTAGATTTTACACAAACAGATCTAAATATGCTGTTTTGTAGTCATTGTTTTTGTCTTGTTTTCCATGTAGACCGGAGCCACGGCACCTGCCAGAGAAACAGAACGGCATCAGTGCCGTGCGGACAATGGAGGCATTTCACTTCGTCAGTTATGTGCCAATCAAAGACCGGCTGTTTGAGCTGGACGGTCTGAAGGCATATCCCATCGACCATGGTGAGAACGTAATGTCAATAAAACTCTTTTGTGAGTTTAAGGAGAAGAGTAGATTACATGAATCTGTCTGTCTTCCTCAGGGCCGTGGGGTGAGGATGAAGAGTGGACGGATAAAGCCAGACGGGTCATAATGGAGCGAATAGGACTGGCCACTGCTGGGTAAGAGCTAAACTGATCAAGATTCACATCTTTGGCCATCAGGGTTTGAGGAAAATGATATATAGAACATATTTCAATATATATATATATATATATATATATATATATATACACACACTGCTCAAAAAAATTAAAGGAACAGCACTTTGAAAACACATCAGATCTCAATGGGGAAAAATATCATGCTGGATATCTAAACTGATATGGACTGGGTAATGTGTCAGGAACAAAAGGATGCCACATCTTTTGATGGAAATGAAAATGATCAACCTACAGAGGCGTGCTTGTATGCATGCCTGACAATGTCGGGGCATGCTCCTAATGAGATGACTGATAGTGTCCTGGGGTATTTACTCCCAGACCTGGACCAGGGCATCACTGAGCTCCTGGACAGTCTGAGGTGCAACCTGGCGGCATCGGATGGACCGAAACATAATGTCCCGTTGC